ACTCGCTTCGCGCCTGTGTGATATTAACCGTTATATGGTATATATATGCTCGTGTACACCTTAAACGCGCGTCATAAATACAATCGCGCGAGTTTCTCTGCTTCTTGATTTTTTTTTCTCGGTCAGCGGGTCGAGTCTCGAGTCGAGTCGCTCTAAAGACCAGATCACACACAGCAGACGGTGTTTTATTTTTTTCAATCGCCCAGCTGTTTTACGCGCCGATTTTAATGCGCACGCGGTCCAGACACGTACCAATTACGCGAATGATAATGATTCGCCGCGCGCGAAATACATCCTCGCGTGATCTTTGGCTATTAACCGATTTTGACTTATACGAACGTCGTTAAACGAGACATAATAGATTGCGATATTCGCCGCCGTTAAACGTTCACGATACATATCGGTATGTATCGAAAGCCTATGATTTCCAAGCACCCAGGCGATACATAGTGTGCATGGGATATAAATTATTGAAGAAAAAACGGCTTTTTAGCGGCAAGACGGCACGAGACGGGTGCGTGCGTTGTTGACGCGGTATGCAACGAATGCCATTGTAATATATATATACCCTAGACATCTTCAGTCCTTGTATACTATAATGTATAAATTTCGCAAAGTTTAATTTCAAAATATTTCGACACACGCGTCTGCCGCGCGTATATTATTATGCGTTTGTTGATGATATATAGAAAATGCCGCTATTTGCCAATAATAAAATTATGCAAAAATGTTTACAGGTGTATGAAAAACGAGGAGAAGAAGAAGAGGACGAAGAGGAAATAAATCTAGAAAAAGAAGAAACGTTAAAAGCTCGCGCTTGAAAAAAAAAGTATTTACGATCGAGCCACGATATAATTATCGCGAAAGGCGCGCGGCTAAGTGAATTATCAGGATCGCTCGGAGCAAACGCCGCACACACGTATGCATGCATGCATTATATACACGGTAGAGCCGTGATTTTTCTTTATGGCATGTGTGCGGTATGGTATAGGAGGATATAAATCAAAGCAGAGCGGCGGCAGCAGCAGCTTAAAATCGCCGGAGGGGATATAAGTATTAAAGGGCCCATTAGGCGTGATAATGGCCAACCTTTCGCTCTATTATCTACTCTCCATATATATAGCGCGATGCGCCGCGATGATAATCGCGGAAGTGCTCTCCAACTTACTTACACACACACACATCGCGTCACACACGTAGACAGATACCACCAGGTATATGCACATCATAATTGCACGTGCGGTATATCGGATGCACACACACACACATGCATGTGCTCTGCACTGCTATATGAATGTGTATCGGCCCATTTGCATAACTGCCTCGTAAGCGCCGCTGCCGCCGTCGTACGTCGACGTCGCTCGACGCTAAAAGATAACTGCACGACTCGACGTTGGAAGAGAGAAGAGGAAAAAAAGTGTAGTCGAGTTTATATAGGTTTTTCGCGTTATTTAGCGCCACCAGCAGCAGACTCTAGAGAAGTAATTATCGAATATATATACACCAAGATTACTACTGCTACGGATCGCAATACAAGTACGAGAGAGAAAAAAAAGTGTCGAAGGCGCTTTAAGCTCCGTGAAAGTCTATGCGCAATATAAACGTCGCGTTGGGCTCTTAATCTATTTCTCTGACTTTGTTCGTAAAATTTTCTAAAATATCGGGAGAAAGTGTAAAAAGCAAATGTATATAGGTAGTGTTGCGAGCTGAGACGACGACGACGACGACGGTCGCGCGCGCAAACACACACAGACGTGACTAGCGTATTATACACACAACGCGACCCTCTTTAAATTCCGTCATAACTTATTCCTCGCCTATACATGCAGTAAGTGGTAGTAGCAGTAGGAACCTAAAAACCGATCGACTATCTCCTCTTTTGCGCAGACACAAGCTTCTACGTATATAGACGGTACTGCACCGATTTCCACGCTAATTAAAAGTATCGCTTTACAGGCGCAACAAGGACGAAAAAAAGTAGCAGCAGCAGCAGCAGCTACAGAGCCTCGTGTTCGCGAGTTGCCGATCTGTGCGCGGCGATGCCGACGGCAATATAGGATATACCCTGATCGAAGTTGAAAATCTCGTTTGCGCCGCGCCGCGCGTACTTAACACAAACACGCGCGAATACATAAACACATCCTAACGAGAAAATGAGCTTTTGCTGTTTTTTTTTTTCATTTAGAGAGAGGAAGCAACGAGAGAGAGATAAGACGCGAAGTGTACTTATAAGTATATATATGCATGTGGCCGTGTATATATCGAACAATCGAAAGTGAACGGGGGGGCCCCCGCGAAGGCTGCAGAGATGCATGATCGAGAGTGCGCACGACGAGCTACTAACCCGAAAGAGATCCTTGATCCTCATCCGAGAGTATATAGAAGGTGGAGGTGTATATAGAGAAGGAGGAAGGATATATAGGTATTCGACACCTATTTCGATTAAAGCTTGGCGCGCTTCGCAGTTTATTACGTACATTATATAGCTTCGTATCGGAGTTTAAAGTCTCTCTTCTCCCCCCCCTCGCAGCGAAATATATATATATGGGCATTATGTAAAATCGCACAATAATACGTACTTAGCGCGCACATTACATTTGCATTGTAAGAACGCGTGTATGGATGTCTTATCGCTTCGCGCATTTCCGAAAGGAAGAGAGAGAAAAACTTTCACAAACGACGACGGAGAGGCGCGACGACGTACAGTACACACACGACGAAAAAAAAAGCTTTGCACGATGATGATACGTGAATATACTCGTGTGTGTGTGTGTACTTTTGCAGAACTGAACGTATACGACAATGGCATTTCTCACGCGCGAGCAGCATAGAGTAGAGTCGTACTTGCTATATATACTCCAAATGTGTATGCATGGGATGGGATGGGATGGGATGGGATATATGTATGTATGGCACGAGACGAGCTGAAAAATCATACATTTCGCGCTTTCTCCTCTCTCGGCAGCGACGACATATAGCACGTATAGGTGTATATCTAAAAACTCTCGAGAGCCTCGCGAATCTTCCCGAAGATTACATCGCGAGACGCTCTGTCTATTTCAACGCTTTATAATATATTTGTTAAAATATGAATGCGGGCTTACGATGTTATTCTTAGATCATCTCCAGACGCGAAGCTCGCGACGATACACATTATTGTGATACGTAATATTTGCACTGCTTTTTTAGCATTGCGTAAAGTTACGCCTCTCTCTCGAGAGAGAAAAGTACGGATGGCGCGATATACGAAATTTTAATTGTCAATCTAGCCACGCCGGAATATTACATTAAACTACTCAGTTTTTAATTTGCAATGTAGTACGTTTTTCGTTTCTGCAACAAAATATTATATCTAAAATTGTCTCTCTCTCTCTCATGTGTGTTATACATGTAATACACCCATATACGTGAATTGCACGCTTATAGTTGCGTTTCTGTGTGTGCTCGCGCACTCGCAGTGTAGGAATTTACCGTTTCGACCTATGTATAATGGATACACGTTGATGTTTAGACGCGTGTGCGCGATGCGATGCTCTCCTCTACGCCGCGTGCGCGAAAGCGTGAATTAACATCTGCGCGAAGTTGCATACGCACACATACACGCGTGCACAAATGTGAATTATGAGCAAAAGCTCGTGTATGATATGTACGCGTGTGGCAGCTAGATATAGCTATATAGCTATATGAACGAACGAAGGAACGAGAGAAGGCAAACGAGGAGGCAATGTTCCAGAGTGTTGAGGAGGGCAGCTCGCGAATCACTTGCTGCTGTTGCTGCCTTTTCTTGGCATTCGTATATTATACCACCAGTAGAGAGAGAGAGAGAGCGAGCTAATAACTGTATATTTTTGCGCGCTTATATGCTCGCGGCTCGCGCTCGCCTTGTACATTATACCAGGCGCACGAAACAACGCGTTAATTGCGCGGATAACACGCCTCGCTGCGAGAGAGGCGCTGATTTTTTTCTTTTTTTTTCTTTTTTGTACGCGAGTCCGAGGAAAATGAAATTTATGCGGCGATACGAGGCTCGAAGTAGAAAAAAAAACGGAGAAACGTACGCTCGCGCTGCCCTTTTCACCGTTCGTAAAGTTACGGAGTAAAGGTAATTCGAGCGACGTTGAAAAAAAAAAAGAAGAAGGAAAATAAGGAAAAGAAGGAAGATGTTTCAGCTGCGCTTCGAGGATCGTAAGTTGGCTTAATAATCTGCCTAATTAGCATGTTAAACGAGGCCTCGTGCTCGCGCCTCGCTCGCGCTGCTTCAGGTATTCCGGAAGACGATTATCATCGAGCGCGCGCCATCCACACAGCTACTACGTCTCTGACCTACATATAATAATATAATATTGCTCGCGCGCGAAGGCATCTTCTCCGTGAATACGTACGATATTCATTATTATACGTATACGCGTATCTCTTGTCACCTGCGGTATTATTATTGTAAGTCGAAAGCTCGAGAGATCCAACCGCGAGATACGATGTAAACTCTCGTTACGAGAGTACAGTGTTTATATTTGCTCGGATGATTCGGATATTAATTTCTCCGAAAGCTGTACGCGACGCACGATGGACCCAAAAAAAAAACAACGCGTGGAAATTATCAAAATACACGATCTCGAGATACAGGTGAGTAATTGTCAATTTTGAATCCTCTTCGATGCGCAACGAGCGATCGTCGATTCCTCTTCTCTTCGACGAATCTGCTAATATAAAAGCGATGTATAGCTACCACCGCCGCGCCAAGCACATGCACCACCGGCAAAAAAGCCGCTACTACCGCACGCGTATACAGAAGCACTCGCACTCGCACACACTATATATAAAACTCGGTTTGTCTCTCTGACTAACGGTCGTCGACTCTCTGCTGCCTGCGATGCACTCGCGTGTGCGCTCGCTTGCGCACAAATGAAAAAAAAAAACCGAAACGAAAAAAAAAAAAAGGTGCAATACGACGAGTGTTGGGGTGTTTGCGGGGAAGGATGTGTATGGTTTAATGCACGCACCTTGGCTCGCTGCTAAAATCAGCAGCAGCAGCAGCATCGACAATGCCGCTATTCTCGGCTCCATAATTTTCACTTTCTGGAACGTATTTTTGTCGCAAATTGTTTCCACCGAAAACAAAACTGTCCCAATTTCGCTTCGACGTTAATTCGGCTCAGCGCACAATTCTCTTCTCCGTTGTGAGTGTACGCCAAAAAACTTGTTCACTTTTTTTTTCGGGTCGAACGAGGAAAAAAAAATTAACAACTAATGAAACAAAACCAAAAACTCCAGTGCCCTATTGCTGTGAGTTAAGATTTATTTGAACCTCATGACACGCACTTTTTTCAACACTGTCCCCAAAACAATGGGACACACAAAAAATCCTGTGTCCTCTCTCTCTCTCTTCACCAGAGTCAATACTGTATCGTAAAAGTGTCCACCTCGCACTGCACTTGTATATTCTATGTTCCTCGGTAGTGCTCTTGTACTCTCTCCTTACTTTCTTCCTTCGTGATACGCGCGATACTAAGCTTGACAGTCGACTGAGGCCGGCAGGAAGTCGTCCACCGGGTGTATCTCTCTCTCCACAGCGGCGAGCCTCTCTCTCTCTTTGCGCACAGGTATGGGTATACAAAAGAGTAGTACCTCCTCGCGGCGGCCGGCCTATGTGTATAGTATACACAGTCTCTTTTCTCATTCTTTCTCTTCCATGCGCGGCGCCCCACTCCACACCTGCTACAGCAAGTGCTACGACGATACGAGTGTGTGTGCATGTGTGTGCACACTTAACGTTCATTACACATACACACGTACACTCGTGCCTCTGGAGAAAGGGGTGACGAATTTCTTCTTTCTCCCGTGCATGCATGTATATAGGTGCATATGTGGACGCTCGCGCGAGGGGATAATTCCCGCGTGACAGTGTGCGTCAGCGACGCGCGACGTAACTCTTCGCCTAATATAATACAAGCTTATTCACCGTGTGCGGAATTTGAGAAATCCCATATGAAATTTTCAATTTGCCTTCTTCTTCGTATACGCACTATGCAGTCTATCGAACGCGTCGTCAGCGGGGAAAAATATTTCAAGTACATATTATATACGTAGCGAGCTTCGGAATTCTGTGCGCGCGCGCGCGCAAGACGCGAGGCAGTTTATTATTTTAAACTGATTAATCGTCGAGTCTAAATAGTTTTGCCGCGTCGAAGCTCGCGTGCGTTCGCGTACGTTAGATCGTTTATAGGACGCTTAAGAATCGACCGAGGAATTTTTAATGTCACCGTTAATTGATGATGCGCACAATTATATATTTCGTTTACACAATCGTTTTGTGGCTAGATTTTGGCTAGCGAAAAAATTTCTTATACTTGTAACAATCGAAGTGTAACGCATTATACATTTTCAATAATTCTTCTTAATTTTCGATCGCCATCTAGTGGTAAAGGCTTGAAGTGATATTATCGTATCAAAGAGACTAAAAACTAGTCTAAATATTGTAAAACAATTAAATGTGTATTTAATTTTATAATTCAAAAAATAGCCGAAATCAACGTGATTCGAAGGAAGAGGCCGTTCAGTAATCAATATGATTCACAACCTTGGCTTTTTTCGGCTTGGTGCTTTGATTTATACATCTATTTTTACTTTTTCCCTTGAAGATTTACAGATGATGGTACTCGCCATCTAGTGGTGGAGATTTAGAGTAAAATTTTTAACATACTTGTAATAGAAAAATCATCGAAAAAGAAATTCGTTCTAATCCATCTTAAACAATTCTCAATGGTAATTTTTGGTCATAAACGGGATTGAAATATCGTAGTGAAAAAAGCTGCATCGAACAGCCTAAAGTAATCCTCTTTTTATTTTACTTATACTATTTAATTTTTTATTTTAATTTTTTATTATTCATTACTACAGGAGAGGAGCGGGGAATGAGAAAGTACAATTATCTCACTGAAATTTTTATTCGTCGTCGAAGCCGCAGCCATCGTCGTCGCAATTTCGCGTAGAAACCCTCGAAAATCAGTTCCATGGAAAAAATCGCCAACGACAATAGGTAGCCCGCTAGTAGCAGAAAAAACACCTTCCTGTACGAGTTGTTCTTCTGCCTGTGCCTGCGCTTATTCATCCCGATGAGTCGCCACGATGTACTGACGTTGTTTTGCTTATGATGTAAACTGACAGCGTCCTCGAAGATCATCTTCCATCTCTTCTCGAGAATACCTGACTCCTGGATGGCGCGAATTATTCGATTGAAGCTCGATGTGTAGGGTGAGCCCTGCCGCATTATGAAGGTCCGATAGGCTGACCAGAAGCAGGGCTGTGCTTCTTTCAGACCACCGAAGACCGTCAGAAAATATGCATTCATTTTTTGTCCGAAAATGCAGCTGACGTTGGCGTGGTCGAGCAGCCATCGCAAGCAAATAAGGTCTTCTGGGTTTTGGTATGCTTTTTTACCCAATCTGTGCGTATATCGTGTAATATTTGAAAAAACGAATGATTTAAAGTGTGATTTCTATCAAATATGACTTGCAAATAATACCTTTTTATAGTGGGGTCTTTGCTGTCTCTAAAAATCATATTGAATGCGTAGGGGTGTACAAACGGTTTGAGGCCCGACTCTTCGAGATCGCGGTAAGTCTCGAATCTCACGTAGGCATCCACGTCGAAATTCATGCAGGTCAGGTGCGCTACGATCGTCGACGAGTAGAGCGTACCCACCACCAAGACGCAACCGAAGAGGATCCGCTCGCGAAGTGTCACTACTCGGGCCGGTACAGAGGCGCCCATCATCACCAGACCTATGTCCAGTGGTCGCCAATGCAACAATGATGACGACGAGGCAACGTCACCACCGCCACGACGAAGCAGAAGCAACGACGATAGCCAGACTACAGCGACGAGGCAGAGAATCAAGAGCAGCGACAATTGGATGCTTCTGCTCAATTGAAAAGTCGGTTTTTTCATCATTGGGACCATGGCGCAGATCCGTTCGCGTGTGATAAAAGTCGTTCTGTCTAACTGTATACATTTTAATGACACATTAACGTATGAATCATTGCATTATACCAACTTTCATGGACGTATTTTCATTCTACCGGAAAAGGATCCTCGATATGAACCCAGAAAGCACCACTAGCAAAGACATCCAGACGACGCCCTTTGACGAGCGGCACTAGCAGTCCCGTGTACGAGTCGACCATCAGTGGGTAATCCGTCAGGAAATCCGACTCGACGCTGAAGTTCAACTTGGATTGGATCAGATCGAGCACCAAATCGAAGATGCCCATTTGTTCTTTAGATTTTTGGCTGCTTAAAGAGTAGGGCAAGTGGTAATGAAATCCCACGCGTAGTCTGTAGCCGTGAAGATCGTCGAGCTTCCAGGGAAATAATCTACTAGAAGAGTCAAGGACTCGATTCGTATAAACACTTGTGAAGGGATTGTAGTGGTGTATCGTTGCGGCGTAATCTGTCTCGCGACGTATTATCCCAATTTTGCGACGATTCACGGAGATTGAGTTGCTGATAATCGTCACGTCTAGTAATTGCTCTTGCCAAAATAGCTTCAATAAATCCAAGTATCTCTCAGAGAAATCATTTTTACGATTAAATAATATCAACAAAACTTGAATCGGTGCTGGGAAATGCAACGTTAAGTTCTTGAGATTTTTTATGAAATTTTTGTCACCATCCTGCTCTACTCCAATGTAAAGAAAAAGGCTATTAGATTTTTGCAAAGATTCTGGCTCACCATCCATATCGATATCGATCCAGGCGCACGGCAACTGACTCGCAAAACTCGAGTATATCCAATTTTCCATCTTGTACGACTTTTCGCTGCTCATCTGCTGCTTTTGGTGATCACCTCGGTTCAAAAATACAACTTGTCGAGCGTAAATCTGTGCTATCAGCGGGTTGATTGGTAGGAAGTATTGACTACTTGAAATCGCGGCAACAATGACCAGCGAGCAAAGGCAATAAATCCAAATGCTCTTCATTCTTTCACGATCAACCATACCACACGATTTGCAAAGAGTGAACAAAAAAATACCCAAAAAGGGAGTGTAGTTGCAAAGAAAAAAAGGATGATGATTAAATCGATTTACCATAAGAGGGTGTTATTTTGTTTACACTGTGATCAGTAATGTGCGTTATGTTAAATGGTCCCATAAGCGGTTTACAGTGTGTAAATATGAGTTTTGAACAGGTAAGAAATTATATGTATGGCAACGAATTATTCATTCAATTATTTATAGCCCAGCGCACAATGATCATGTACAACACACGTATTTATATTGCAAGGACTATCGTCGGCTTTACGTAAACCTTAGCAGGTCTGTAACTGTAATTTTTTTAAATATTATAAGTTTTAAATTGATAATAAGTCAACTCGAAGGATGTAAACAAGTTATTTTTAGCTGTTTTATCTTATTTATTATTATTCAAACAGTGTGGTTGCTCCTCTGGTGAACTCTCTCCAAGTATCTCAGAGAAGAATCGAATCAAACATTATCAACAAAACTCGAATTGGTACTGAGAAATTCAATGTTAAGCTCTTGAGATTTTTCCTGCAATTTTTGTTGACGTTGTCCTCCACCCCAATATAGAGAAAGAGACTATTCGGTTTTTGCAATGATTCTGGCTCACCATCCATATCGATGTCGATCCAGACGCAGGGTAGCCAACTCGTGAAACTCGAGTGTATCCAATTTTTTATCTTGTACAACGATTCGCCGCTCATCTGCTGCTTTTGGTGATCACCTTGATTCACAAATATAACCTGTCGAGCGCAAATCTGGCCGATCGGCGACCTTATCGGTAGGAAATGCTGACAACATATATTCGCGACAAAAATTATCAGCAAGTACAGACAATAAATCCAAATACACTGCATCCTCTTTCGACTGATATATATATCAACTTACAAAAGAATGAAGAACAAAAAACGCAAAAAGAAAGTACCACTGCAAAAAAAATCGATTATTATTAAATCGATTTGTCATAAAAGTTCGTTATTTAACTTTATGGTTTTGTTTGCACTGTGATTAGTTAAGTGTGTTACGTGGGATGGTCTAGTGTATGTAAATATGAGCTCAATAATTTAATGAGGAATCCAATACGTAGGACACTCTACATATGGCGCGATAATGACAAATTATTATTAATTCAATTATACATAGCTCGGGGCGCGTTAATCATGAACATAACATGAATTTAAATTACACAGAAAGTGCAGTAAGAAGCAGCACTGGAAGGTTAACGCACAGTGCATCGCGAATGACATAGTTGAATCAATGGCCAGGTACCAGTGAATGACCATTTTCGAAAATATGCTACGAAAAACAATTAAAAATATATTTGTAAGAACGCTATTCAATTCTTTAGCAATCGGCGCATCTTGTTATCCACGTTTGATCATCATATAACAAGGACAAAGTATAATTATTGCATATCCGAAAATGGTTATTCACTGGTCGAAAGCGGTCACTCACTGATACAAGTACC